TGTCAACATGAAGTTAGCGGAAAGATCTGGAAAATCTTCCTTGTGGTTTTAGGAATGGATATGGCATACCCTGCCAGCAGTGCCAGAGAAGCAGCTGATCCCTGGCAGCTGACAAAGTCAAGGGTATGTGAAAGGGAAATGATAACAACAACAACAACACAAACAGCTACAGAAATAATGAGAGCTAGCACTTATTGGGTAGTTACTCTGTGCCAGACACCGTGCTGAGTGTGTTATAAGCATTATCTCCTTTAATCTTGACTCCAACCCTGTGTGAGGTGGGCACTGAGACCCAGAATGGTTAAGCGAGGAGCCCAGTCACACGGTAGGTAAGTGGTAGCTCTGGGATATGAAGGCAGAGAGCCTGTGCTCTTCCCCACCTTGAGACAATATGCTCTTGAGAATAATTCAGGTTAGACTAGAAGAGGAAGTGCCAGCACTGGAACAAGAAAATGATCTATCAAGAAGGTGGGAGCCTAAGAAAAAGTTTGTTCAACCTGGGCAAGCTGCTTAGCCTCTGGCTTCTTTTTCACCTGTCTGAGAAATGTTGTGGCGCTTTCCCTTGCAGATCCCCCCGACCTGCATGAAATACCTTTCCTTCCTGCCTGACCCTCTTCCTTACCCTGGGAGCGGGCTGCGGTTTCTTTGCAAAGAAACTCACCTTAGGACACAATTTCCTATCCAAGAAGTCAGGACAGTCTGGTATCCCCTATGGTGTTGCAATGTGCTGGGGAGGGGGCAGAACAAGACGGCAGTGAGAGAGGAAAAGTGATGCATGGGGGGCGTGCATGTGTCCCGGTATTTATATCCAGTTAAACCCAACAAGGGCAAAGTTCCCTTCAGCCAAGGGAGTCACAAAAGCAGCAGAACAAATACACGGCTAGTACTTGCCCTGGCCAGGTGGTCTGGGTACAGATATGTGGGAATCTCTGGACCCTTTGGTTCCCAGATGAATAATAAAATGAAAATCTCTGCCCTCCACCTGAACTCCTGGGCTTCCAGAGAACTCCCTGAAGCCTAGAGAAGGTGGGACCCAACCAGCCTGTTCCTGCCATAAACACCTGTGGCATGTCACTTTTCCTGTTCCTTTGGTGCCCCCATTTCTCTTTTCCTCTTTCTTCTCAACCAGGGCCTCTGTGTGTTGGGGTGGGGGTGTCAAAATGAAATCCTCTCAGCTTGGGTGGCAGGGAAGCCTGACCATCTTTTGTGTCTCATCAATACAGGCTGGACTCCTGATCTGGGCCGGCCACTTTATACCTCATAGAATGGAGATTGGGGACTGCACTGAGCCACCCACGCTTGCTGACCTGGTCTTTTATGTGACACATATTTCCAAGGTCAGTCTTTGGCCAGAGAAGAAAGAAGAAGGTGTCTTTTCTCCCCTTTCTGCCTAGTCGAATCTCCCCTGTGCCGCCCCGCCCCCCTTCGAAGTACAGTCTGAGGCCCATCCCTCACAAAGCCTTCCCTCCCTCCTCCAGCTGCTGCTGACCTCAGAGCTCTGGCTGTCTCTGCGAACCCCCCTCCCACCAAGGAGCACAATTAGCACCTGACCAGCCACAGGCCTGGCTATTTTTCGTAGCCTCTGATTGTTTAGGTGTCTTAGTCATCTCTCCCCCATTGCCTCCTTTGCACACCTCCCCCATAGCACCTAGCACAGGCTGGGCACACAGTAGGTGTTAATAAATGTCTGTTGGATCGAAACTCAGCAGCCCCTATGAGGTCAGAGCCCTCATAAGCTCCCCAACAAGCAGTTCCTTGGCAACCAGCGCTGGGGCCCTGGCTATAGGGCATTAGCGGCAGGGCCGAGATTATAGGACACTTGAGGCTCAGCGGCTAGAGATCTGCAAGCGGGTTGGTGTTGATGAGAAAAGCTTCTGACCCCTAGGAAAACGCCCATGGGATTCTGGGTACCACAGATGAGTTTCCTTTCTCCCCTGCAGAACTAGTTTTCAGTCTGTGAACCACAAAGGGAATAAATTGGCAGTGAAACCAGAAACCTCTTTGCAGTTTAGAAATCCCAGAGATAACCAAGCCCGGTTTGGGGTCAGGCCCAAGTCTGAGGCGAGGAGGCTGCCCAAGACCCTTCCCACTTTACTGGGGAACCTCCCAGAGGCACAAGGGACATGGCAAGCATCGGCCCTGCCACTCCAAGGGTTAGAGGGCTGTTCGGGGGTAACCCTCCAAGCCTGCCTTGGAACCCAACAAATGATGCCACTGAATACTTGTCACCTGCAGCCAGCCCCCCGCAAGAACCGGGTCTCTCTTTCCCTGTCAGTCACCCAAATCCCAGGGCAGGCCACTCTGTGTAGGCAGGGGAAGGGAGGCACCCAGACCAGAACCCAGCCAGGGTTCCCAGGCAAGAGGGTACCTAGCTCCGTGCACTGGCTCAAGGATTCTAGTCTGGTTTTGACTTATGGTTATTTATATAGATGACCCAGCCACTCTTCCCACCCACCCCCCACATCCCCTACACCAATGGTGGACTCTGTCCTCTTCATCACCTTTTTCTCACTGCCATTGGTGCCTGGTCCTGGGGCTGGATCTCAGCAAATGCTTGCTGAGTTGAATCTGAGCTTTTGGCACTGTGTCAGGCAGTATCACTATGTTAGTCTGCGCTTACTGTGGGTCACAGACTGTTCTGATAATCAGCACAACCTTATGAGGTGGATCCCATTAAACAGATGAGGAAACTGAGGCATACAACTGACTGCAACCACATGGCTAGTAAATAAGAAAGCTAGATTTAGACCCAGACAGCCTAGTTTTAGGAATCGGAGGGGAAATGAAAAAGTTGGGGGGAGGGGGGAGGACCAAGGCCAAGCTTAGGAGAGAGGATTTCCCTGCGAAAACAGTCCCCTTGGCCTGCATCTAGCTGGAGCCTTTGGGGAAAAAAAAAAACCCCAGTAAATTTTGCAGGTTAGGTTAGGGCATTTTTCTCATCATTTTAATTAGGCCCATGATTGACAGACCACACGGCACCCTAACTTTTAGATTCCAGTACAGGAGAGAGGAGATAGAAGCCACTGTCCACCTCTTAGCCCTGGGCAGGAGGAGGGTGGGTTTTGGGCCTCCAGCTTGTCCAGGGGTGGGCACCAGTTCCTGAGCAACCACGAGCAAATAGTGCAGCAGTGGGAGGAATGCCAGACATAGTTGCAAATTGCAAACAAGCCACTCCTTAGGCTCACAGTGGAGGCTGGGTGAGGGTGGCAACGTGGAGCCTGCTCAATGCACACCCCCCACCAGAAATCCCAGCCTTTGAACTCAGGCTCAGGGACGACCACAAGCAAAGCAGCTTCTTCCCCAAACCACCCTGTATGAAGTCTTCAGGATAGCTCAGTTCTTCACTTAACTCGGCATAACTCCCCCAGAGGCCATTTATGCTCTGGGTCCACTGAATGGAAGAAAGCACCTTATAGCCGACCAAACCCTGTGTAAGTAGCTGTGAGGAGGGATTTGCATTTTTGCACGGCATGGTGTTCCGGGGGCATTTTCACTGGGAGAGCTAGATCTGTTCCCTTCATCCCCCTCCCACCTGGCACTCTGGCCTGGGGTCATCTCTAAGGGGGTGAGTCCCCGATGGGCGTTCCCGCCAGCTGTTGGGGCCCAGTACTGGTGGCTCAGGCCCTGGGGTGGTGACCTCACTTCCGCTCCTGCCTCCCCACCTCCCCAGCACTCCTCCCATTTGAGGCCCCACCAGGCAAAAAATCGAGAAGTCCAAGGTTAACTGTTCCTCCCCATTTTAAGAGCTAATTAAAATGATTAGCCACAATGAACTGTCAAACATTAACCAGAAGAAGCTGCAGGACCAGACAGGGCTCAATCTTGGGCAGAGGGATGGGGGCTAAGAATCAAAATGCCATCAAACCCCACGGTTGGGGTGTGGTGGTGGTGGAAGCAGCCAGGGAAAACTTGGTTGAGCCAGGTGCCAAGGGTTCAGGAGGTGATTCTGGTCAGAACGGCACTGTCCCTGTACACAGTCGTGAGGTAAGCGCGGCAGAGTTAGGGTGCGGTGGAGAGACCAGGAATTCATAACGCCACTACCGCCTGAGCAGTGTCCAAAAGCACGGCGGTGTGGGCAAGGGATCCCGCGCTGTGTGGCTACGGACTCCCCTAGCCGGCAGCAGAAGAAGGAACGGAGAGGCGGGAGAACTCAGGAGAGCGGGAACGCGGGAGAGGGAAGGCTGCCGGCTGGCTTACACGCAAACTCCAGCGCCACCACCCGCCCCCCCACCCCCCCGCCTCCGCCCCGCCAAGAGGTCTCTATTTTGGCGATCCAATGATTCGAGTGTGTATGTAGGCTTTACCCTGAGGCTCCTGGCCCCAGAAGCTCTGCGGGCCGCTGGATGAATCTAACAGCCCCTCCACGGACCAGCCCAACCTCCTGCCCTCAGGAACCCAGTTTTTGCGGGACTGTTGTTGCGACCGCTCTTGTCTTGGAACGCGGGCTGCCCGGGGCGCGGGAAAAATGACCCCCAACCCGGACTCAGAAAACCGATTCCGCTTCTAACCCGGGATCAAGGAGTCCGGGATCCACAGCACACACGCGGCGGGGCGAGGCAAGGGCGGGACTCAACACGCCACAGTCTACTCCCCTTCCCTGGGCCCCCAACCCCTACACTCCGGGGCCCCGAGGCTCCCAATCCCGCCCTCGGACAAACTTTTCGAGGTCTCCGAAGGCTCGAGGAACCGGCGCCATCGACGTACCTGTGGAGAAATGGGCTCGGTCGCCAAGCCGTGATCGATCGATCGCCTCGCAGTCCCCTCCCCGCTGTGGGGGCCGAGCCGCGCGGGCCCCCAGCCCTTCCAGCCCGCCTTCTCCCTCGAGAAGCCGGACCCGGCAAGTGGCGCCGGGATCTCGGCGCCGGCAAAAGGAGAAGTGGAAGTTGAGCGCAGCGCCCGGTCGGTCCCCGCGGCCGCTGGGGCCAGCGTCCGCCTCCCTCCTTCCTCCCGTCCTCTCCTCCCTGCCCGCCTGCCCCCGCGGCCCTGCGCCCGTGACTCACCTCAACGCGGGGGCAGGCCGGTCCGGGCGGGCGAGGCGTAAGGCTCTCCCACACGTCGCGCCGCCAATGGCAAGTTAGAGGGCGAGATGCAAATACCAGGTGAACCCACGGCGCCCCTGAAAAAACGACTCCGCGGGGCGGGGGTGGAAGCAGAAGGGCCCAAGCGGGGGGCCGGAGCAGTGGGGGCGACCGGGGCGGTGGGGGGCGCCCGGGGTGGGGGCGCGAGCCAGCGGAGACCTGCGCTGAGACGACCGAGCGAAAGGGGAAATTGCACCAGAGCCACACACGTCCCCTCAGGCGGCGGCTGGGGCGGGCGCGAAGGAGGCTGGGTGGGAGGGAGGGAAGAGCCGGAGGGAGGGACCGACGGGAGGGACCGCGGCGGGCGGGGTAAGGGAGGGAGGAGGCGTCCGGGTGGAAACAGCGCCCCTCCACCCCCCGCCCGCCTCAGTCGCCAGCAAGGCAGAGGGAGCCGCGCCAGGGGCCCGCACGGCCTCTCCTCACCCTCGCCGTTCTCTCGCCCCCAGGGTGCGACGAAGGCAGGGCTCCCACAGGGGGCAGAGCTCGCGCTCCGCCCTGGCCCCCAGCGGGAAGCCCCCGCGTAAGAGAACTCCATTCTCGGGGGAATCTGGATGGCTCTATCCAGCCTCTTGGCCTGTATAGTCCGCTTTCTCGACGCCTTTGGCCCGAGCCCTGAACTCTAGATTATTGAACGCCTGCTGTGTGCGAACCTGGCGGGAGCGCGGGCTGCACGGGTGTGTGAGGCCAGAAGATGCCCAAAGAATACTATTGAGGAACAAATCCCAAACACTGCAGGATCCCCAGCCAAACGCATGATGTGCTTGGGGTGACTGGAGAGTTTGGGGGATTCCTGAGGGAAGTTGAGCCTAGGGCTCTTGGTGGAAGAGGTCCGAAGGATATGAATTGGGGAAAGGCTGTGGAGAGAGAGGCTGGGCTGCCATAGCAGGTACAAAGACTGCCAGAGTTGGGGGGGCTGGGAGAAAGCTCATGCCCCCTTCTATCCAAAGCCAGGCTGCTCTGCTGGAAGCTTCCACTTGAATTCCATTTTCTTCTCTTTCCCCCTTATCCTCTTCTTTGATCTACCTAAGTCTCCACACAAGCCTTCCCACCTAGTCTTACAGTTAGGATGCTCAGAGAGGGAGGCTCTAGGAACTGTCCCTTCTTATGGCTCTACATGGTCTGGAAGAGGGTGCCGACAGAGCCTCAGCCCTGGCATCTCCTTGTCAGAAAGCAGCAAGGCTGAAAGGGCCCCAGAGGTAGGAGAGCCCTCTGAGGGACAGGGGTGGTCAAAGGGCCTGAGATTGAAGGACCTGCTCAGCCACCAGCATCTATCTGCCTTTCCTCCCAGGCTTGGAAAAAGATGGTCTTTGGCACAGGAGTGAGGGACAGGAGTGGTGGTGGGTGAAGCCTGAGAAGGCAGCTGCAGATTACAGGTTTCTGGGGAAAGCCCTAGGGGCTGCAATGACACACTGGCCCTTGAGACAGACCTCATGGCTACCTATGGCCAAGTCCCTGAAATAATCACTAAGAGCAAATTTCCACTTTTTTCTTTTCTAAGAGGGCACTCTTTCCCCCAGAGAATCCTGAATCCTGGAGACACACAGTCTTTTGCTAGTCTCTAGTCCATGAGGTTCTGCTATCAAAATTGTGGTAGATACCAGCTGTCTCCTAAGTCCCCTTTATCTTGACCTTGAGACTCACTAATGGACACACACACACACACACACGCACGCACACACACACGCACACACACTTTTCCCATTTTGCTAAGAATTCAGTGGTCTCTAACAACAGACAGACCTGGGTTCCTTTTCTAGCTATGTGTCTTTGGACAAGTCATTTAAATCCTCTAACCGTCACTTTCCTTATTTTTAAAAAGATTTTATTTATTTATTTTTAGAGAGGGGGAGGGGGAGAGAAAGAGAGGGAGAGAAACATCAGTGTGTGGTTGCCTCTTGAGCAACCCCAACTGGGGACCTGGCTGGCAACCCAGGCATATGCCCTGACTGGGAATCAAACTGGCAACCCTTTGGTTCTCAGTCTTAGCTCGATCCACTGAGCCACACCAATCAGGTCACTTGCCTTATTTTTAAATTGGCAATAATAAGATACTTCACAAGGCTGTAGTGAGGACTGAATGAAGTACCTTTGTCTATGGCAGTGTCCAGTGCCTAGTAAGCCTTCAATAAATGATAGCTATCTTCAGTGTCACTTCGTTGTGATTTTGATTTTCTCTATGCAATTCCCAGGCAGGAGGGGTGGGAGGTCTGACAGAGCCAGGCCAGAAGCTTTGGAGGATCAGTAGTGGATCCCTCCTGTGAGTGCAGTTAAACCAAGGCTGAAATTTCAAGACGCAGAAGAGCCAGAGCAGAGCTCTTCTTCCTGAGAAGGGTGGGGAGAGAGGGAGGACAGCACTGCCTGGACCAACTTATAGTGACTGGCTCTAATGCCTGCCAGTGACCTGGAACCCACGACTTGTGGGAATCCCATATGTTCCCACCTTCCTTAGACACTCAGAACTAACCACAGCCCCATGATCTGGGAGTTGCAGCCAAAGTGAACCCTACCCCTTTGATGAAAATCTTATGCCAACCTCACCTTGAGGAGCCATGGGCCACCTGAATGACCTTCCTGACTCCGTGGCTCCAGGTCAGCCAGGCTGCCCTCCCTGATGACCTTGCTGTTCCGCAGTCTGCCAGCCCTTCTCCACCTGGCTCCCTGTTCTTCCACTTACCCATCGGGCAAGCCCCAGCCAGGTGGGGCCAGCCGGCTGAGATCACCATTCCTGATGACAGCCATGCTGTCTCTGCCAATGGCTCATTCCCTGACTTGGCAGGAATTCCCCTTCTCGAGTTGCCCGTGGATGCCCGGGCTACTCCATCCAGTGTGCACTCTCAGCCTGTCTCGTTCCAGCCCTGTTTTTCCTTCATTCTCCAACCCCTACTGGGTCCTCTCAGGCCTCAGAACCTGGATCATTCCAGGAGTGGAGGAGCCTCCTGACTGCCCATAGCCTGTGTAGGGAAACCTTCCCACTTCTCTGCTCAACTTGCCATTCCACCTTGGCAACTTTCTCAGTCCCTCTTTGTCCCCTCTTTAAGTAGTGCCCGACGGCCCATGTTCTTCTACAGATCACTCCAGATTCCTTGGAGACAAGGTTGCTTCCTCCTTCTTGGACCTTTGGGCCTTGACAAAGTCTATTCAAACCCATGGCCAGAACAAAATACCACACTGCCACAGCTTCTGTGGTCATGGCCCTTACTTTCTGTCATAGACACATGCTAGAAAAGTCACCTATCAATCAGACTTTCAGAGTGAGAAGCGTATTAAAAAACCAGGAGAAAAGTTTAAAAGGAACCTACCCACCTGTAAAGTTGAGAAGCCCCCTATAATGATGTCTATCCAGCCACCAATTAGCCCTCTGTTAATATGTTCAATACCCCAGGTTTGCCTCTGTGGGGTTTATATGACAAGGCCCTAGCTAGATCCAGAGATAGAAAGCTCCAAGTCCCAGGTTATGGCTGGGCATCATACAGAGTGTTTGTTTGAAAAAGATTGTTGAGTAGCTGCAAAATAAAAGAATTCTTTGGGCCCTGACTGGTGTGGCTCAGTGGTTTCAGTCATGGCCTGTGAACCAAAAGGTCACCAGTTCAATTCCCAGTCAGGGCACATGCCTGGGTTGCGGGCCAGGTCCCCGGCTGGGGGTGTGCAAGAGGCAACCGACTGATGTATCTCTCGCATATTGATGTTTCCCTCTCTTTCTCCCTCCTTTCCCCTCTCTCTAAAAATAAATAAATAAAATCTTTTAAAAAAGATAATTCCTTGGGATAACTTATACCAAAGTGTTCCCTCCTGGGATGACGATCTGTTGCCCTGGCCCTTATGAGAGAGTAATGGGGGTGGGCATATGCCTAGGCCAAAGTACAGGCATACAGATGGAAATATGAGGTTGGGAACAACTTACCAAACCATAACTTTCGTCTGGCAGGCCACCTTTCTTGGCCGGGGCTCTTAGAAAACCACTCTGTTTCCCAGCTGAACCCTGCTCTCATTTAAATGTAGAGTTATACCTTTGGTCTCCAGGGCTTTTCAGGAACTGGACCTGCCACCATGAGAGCCCCTATACAACTTCAGAGGACTGGTGGGCTTCACTTCTTGGAGGGCTGGATAGCAGATAAGGGGCAATGCCTGGAGGGCGATGTAAAGCTGCGGAATCAGTGTCCCTCAGATCCCCTCTGAGTTGGTGGAAGATTTGGGAGGGTGGGCAGGAGGAGGAGGAGGGACCTGATCCTGTGGTTCATTTGGGAAAAAAAAAACAACAACTGTGACTTTGGGCACAGTTCAGCAAATAAGGGCAATCCCCTGGTATCTCTAATCCCACCAGTCCCTAGTCCCTGTCTGGAAGTCAGGACTCAGCCTGGAAAAGTCCCTGGGACCAGGGCAGAAGTTACCAGCCTGCCTTGGTAACCCATTGGAGGCAGCAAAGCATCCGGAGCTTTTGGGGGCACTCTCCAGGGGAGCCACCGTTAACCCACCAGCCCCTGACATCTGCTGGTCCAACACCTATGTTGTGTGGCTGGCAGCTTCGCTGTGCCCCCAGGCCCTGCAGAGATGCCAAAGATGCTCCAAAGGTGCTTCCACTCATGGCACACAGGAAAAAAACGAGTGGGCCTAAAGAAGCCTTGGCCCAAGAAGCTGCTGCTGGGCCAAGGGGATGGGATGGGGACCAGAAGGGTGGTAATACATGGAGGGCTTCTGTGGGCCCTTGGGTGGGCTGGGGGACAGGGATGGACAAGCAGCCATCAAGCTGGGTGTCTCCTCCTCAGATGGAGAAGAGGCTCAGGGGAGTGGATGGGGCTCTAGTGTCATTGTATTGGGGCATTATATATTATATATGGCAAACAGCGCCCCCTGGAGTTGTGCAGGGCAGTGGCAGTAAGAATGGATAAGAGAGTTGGGAAGAGGTGTTTGAATGAAGGGAGAGATCAGGAAGGACTCAGACTGGGATTCCACAGTGGGGGCACTGTGCTTGACTCCATCTTTAGGACTGAGGATAAGGTGGGGTAGCGGGGAGAGGCTGTGAGGGGGACTCATCAGCTCCTAATTTTACCCACTTCACATCCTGCCAAGGGGCACCTCCAGGCTGAGGTTCGTATCAGGAGGTAGGATGATCCTGCTCTTTCAGGATAACCCCATCCCACGGGGAGCAAGGACAAGCCTGAGACATGAGCTAGACAGAGGTCCAGTGGGAATGCAGCCACTCCTCAGTGTCCCCACCCTACCCCCAT